ATACTTATAAGATGTCTCTTATTTTCCCATGTCTTACTCATTTGCTTTTGCAAGCTCATAAGACTTTACAAAACCCTTGCTGTCTCATATGAATTAAATATAACCTGCTAAATCTATTGATCCTTTTTTTTTCTCACACTCCTTACCTTCTGTTATTCCTTCCCTCAGTGTGTGCAGAATTGTAATTAAGGTGTCCTTCTCCACATCCTACTTATCACTATGACCAGCCGTTCTTTCTTTAACATTTCAGTGGGAAGAAAAAAAAATCTAGTCCTGTTTATTTGTTTACATTCTTTCCAAAAGCACTTTTTTTTTCCTCCAGGAGTTCTCATTGTACTGCTTTTTTCTTTCATATTTTCAAATATTTCTAGTTTTTTATTGCTCATATCTGGCCTCTTCATGTCATCTTTAGTTTTCTTTTTATTCAAATAACATGTGTTATGACAGCACTATATGGAAAGGAAGGATTTTACCTAGACATTTTTCCCCTACTAGTTTTGCACTCAGAAACTCAAATATTCTTAATCCTTCTCAAACAGAGAGGGAATTCACACACTTAAAATCTGGGGAGATTATTTTTTTGTTACCTAAGTAAATATAATACTCTTTAAATGTAATACAGGAGATGTATTAGTGAGCCTTTGGTGTTCACTGAAAAGACTGGAGCACTCCTGGAGTTTGTAACCTTACAAGGATGAAAGGAGTCTCTGAAACTTTCAAGTGCACTTATACTGTCAGAGTGTTTTTTAAAGATAATAAGAAATCTGCCCTTTCATTTGGAGAACATACAAATTATAGAAATCTTATGGCTGGTTTAAATTTCTCAAACTGTTTTTTGTTTGATTGAGTTATTTTGTTTCTTTGGGATTTTTTTTTGTTTGTTTGGTATGTTTTTTGTTGGGTTTTTTCTGTTTTTGTTTTTGTTGTGACAAATAAGCCAAATAGTCCAGCTGTTGCTTCTCATTTCTTTTTCAGTTTTTAACTTACTGCTTCTTTTTCCTGGTCTTTTGGAGCTTTGCTCACCTCGTGTGATGCTTTTGATACATCCCAACTTATATCCTTGGACAGGGTACCTCACTTGTGCCCTGTGTTCTCCAAACTGTTTTTCTGCTGTTCTTCTTGAGGCTTGACTTCCTGACATCTGACAGGTCTTCCCCGTCATCGTGTCCACTGATTTACTCTGTTTTCCCAACATGGCTCTTCTGGTTGTTTAACCCTTCTCCAGCTAGGAAGAAATTTCAGAAGACTGGGATGAATTTGAAGTAAAAATCTATTAGAAAGTGGTGATCACATAAATGCCACAATAGCTAGTTGTACTCAGTAACATAAAAAGCTAATACAAAATATTTTGACCCAAAAGCCAGTTTGTGAAAGGAAACAAAGTTTCTAGTAAAACTGCTTATAGGAAAAGAGCTTTTCCTTGGCATTGAAACTTTCACAGAGAAGTATATGCAGTATTTCCCTATCTTGGGGCAGTTCCTGGGCTGAAGATTTAAATCTTTTGAGTAGCAGTAAATTTCTCCAGAAAAGCTAAGCCATTTCTCATTAGTCCAACCTGCCTTACATTGTCTTAGAGTCTTTTTCAAGTGGCAGGTGTCTTTATTTTTATTTAAACTGAGCTTGAAATTAATTGAAACAAACTAAAGTATCACATAGATATTTGGAAATAAGCTAGCCAAATGTTGCAGAAAAATGGAATTAACTTCCCCATGCTATAGAGGCCTCACTTGAAAGAGTTTAATTTTTATTCCTTTCCAAAAGGAGAAGAGCTTCAATTCATAAAAATCTCCAAATGATTTCTATGTCCTTGTGTGAAACATGCTACAGAAACACAAAATGTGATTGTTTGTCTGTAGTGAAACTGGAAGTGTTAATGTTCAAGTGTTTCACAGGATATCGATATAAGAATACACAGAAGAATTTATGGTAATTATACCTTTTTTTTCTGAACATGCTTATTCACAGTGCTATTTATCTTTTATTCTTTCGCTTTTTTTTGTAAACAACAGTACTCAGTGACAAACATCAGCAGAAAGCAGCAGAGACTGAGAAAATGTTCAAAGTGTTCAGTGGCAGTGGGAGGAGGAACAACAAAGATTTGCACTGGAGAGAGATAACATTCGCAGAGTATACCTTGCTGAGATGGAATTCCTTATTAAAGAAAAAATGAAAACAGAAAGTACTTGTCCGGTATGATGTATTAATAGATGGAAACTTCCATGAGATGTTGGCTGAAGGTTTTTTTGGTGCAAAGTGTGTGGTTGGGGTTTTTCTGATTTAAGGGAAAAAAATTCCCCAAATAGCTAAATACTGTAGAATAGTTCTGAAGATTACAGCTTTATGAAGTTACAGTTTGTGTGTAATGACGGTTTGGGGCTTTGATGGAATGTGTTGTGGCTGTTTGCCATGGTAAACACCTAACTCAAGTAGTAGTGAAAAACAAAGGAATTTGTGGAAAGGACTTGTCCTTCTCAAAACAAGCAGAAACACAAGTCAGGTTTTATTCAAAGCTGATTCTTATAAAGGTGGGGCAGGATATAGGCTGTGAAGAAGCCTACTTTTAGATAGAGTTGTTTTGGTTTTTTTTTTTTGAAGTGGACAGGTAGAGCAGGGTAAACTCTGAATTCTGGCTAATAGTAAGTGGCTGACTTAGTTTGAGGAGGCTCTGGAAGGGTATTGCCTTCTGTTGTGTACAGTGCTTTGTAAAGTTATCTTCAGGGAGCTAAATGTTGCATCAAAAGATCAGGTGAAAAAGTTTGCTGTGCTCTGTCAAGTAATGTTTGTCCTCAAAAAAGGACAAAAGAGCAGTGGATGGCTTGTGACATTGTGTTCTCTGTCAGTTCCCTGTCAGTGTTCTCTGCCAGTGGCTGTGGAGGAAGGGGTTTTGTTGGTAAATGTATTAAAGCTACAAAATTGTAGGAAATGTAATGAGCATGAGTAGACTAAGATTGCCATCAATACATCAAGCTCATTAAACAGGTAGCATGAGCTGTAGGGTGTCAAAATCTTGACATCTTTGAACGCAGAAGTATTTCAGAATTTTCAAAACTCTGAAAGGAAAATGTGGTTCACTAACTACTAGGTGCTAAACCCTAACCTGCCTTCAGCAGTAGAAAAGTTTCGTTTTTCCACTTTGCTTTTGTAGCTGTTCCCCTGCCCATCATCACCCTACAGTTATGTTATATATAGTTATAAAGTTCCGGGAAATAAAAAAATGTTAAACCTGGACTTTACTGCATTAGTTGTTGCTTGAATGGTTAATTAATTTAAACTTGTCAGATAAACATCAGAAACATGTGGGTTTATAAATTATGACTTTGAATGTATTGCAGTCTTTTGTGTTGAGTATTTACATGACTGGTTTAAATCTCCTTTAGTTATTCAGAGTTGTAAAATGAAAGCTAAGGATATTTAATTGTGGTTTTAATACGTGCAGAGAAGTGGGATTCTGAGCATGTAGGCAAGTCCTGGCTGGAAAACCTGCCTAATTCCAAACTTGGCTGTGAAAATGCTGAGGTAGGCATTGGAGTGGAGTCAGTATTGAAATGTGTCTCTGGGGCACACTGGAAAAGCCACCCTCTCTGCTTTGTGACAGGTTCATGGTGAGCTCTGTTGGGCTTATCCTGGTCCGGGATAGGAGGTGTTGGAGTTCGATAAGGAAGGGCAATAGCATCACCTCCTGGTTAGGGAGGAAATATATCCCTGCATGTTTTTTTCATTAGAGCACTTGAGAGATTGTGTCATTTTCACACGGTTTAAAAAAAAAAAAAAAAAAAAAAGAAAAGAGCCATGTTTTTCATGAGCAAGTATTTGCAGGTGGCTATGGGGATAGTATTAAACAGTCATGCCACCCTAGAAGTTCAGAAATTCTTCAAAACTCTGAAAACCTGCAGCTCATGCTGACTTGTTTCATATAATTTGTTTAATATAGTTTGATATAATCATGAAAATTTGAGTTTGCTAATATTAATTACATTTCCAGTGTAAAATGTTTTTAATTTTTTTGTAGTATTTCACAGCAAACTGTTACTTCTTTAAAATTTCCCAGTTCACTTTTGTTAATACCTGGAAGATGAACCCGAAGAAATAAATATTTCTATATCTTTCAAGGCATATATTTCTGTAGAAATGGTTAATTTTCATTTATTTATTTATTTATTTAGCATTCCAAAGGGAAGAAATCTGTCTTGCTGGACATGCAAAGCTAGAGGATTAGCTTGCATTTAGTACAAATCCATATGGAGTATGGGCATTTTGTAGCATTGACTTCACAGAGCTGCAGAGCCCAGTAATGTCAATAATTCTCCCAACCTGTAGTTTAATTCAGTTTCTGTAGGCATAAATTGAAGTGGGGACCAGCTTATTTTATTCAATTGAGGACTTTGTATTTCATGAGTTTTTTAAGTAATTCAGTTTCTAGATTTTCCTTTTCAGAATAGCAGACATTAAAATTAATTAGTCTGTGGGAGTAACTGTTTCTAAAAAGATCTGATTTGATGTTTTAGCAATTTTATTCAGAACAAAATGAACTTTTGTCCCCATGCATCATTTTATCAAATTCACCCCATTTCTATCATTGCCACTGAGCTGGGAGACAGAAGAGATCAGAAGGGCCATACTCTTTTGGGTAAAGATTTCTGGTGGTGATCTGGCTCTGATTTTAGTGTTGCCACAGAAGGTCACGTTCACAGTGATTTTTGGGACAACACAGATTTCTTGGTGGTGAATTAAAAGCATGTCTGCTGTTGGGTAAACACTTCTGCTGACATGTGCTGGTGTCTTAGATTTTAAAATTCTAAAACCTTCCTCTGATGCAGTCTCCACTACTCTGTTGAACTCTCTACTGTTTTAGTAAAGATAATACTTTATCTTAGAAAAAGTACCTCTTGATGTATTTATTTATTCATTTACCTATTTATCTTCAGGAAACGAATGCTGTCCTGAAAAACATGCTCAGGAAGTTGAGGGATATAGAGGTAGAACACCATGGCTGCAGCGAGATGCTGAGGCTCCAGGCCAACCATCTGGATTTCAAGGAAAAACGTCAGGAGAGGCTCATCAGGGAACTGGAGGTAAAGCTTTCCCTGATGCTAGAAGTCTCAGCAAGCATGGGCACAACTAATCAGTTTCATTTTGAGGGGTAGAACCTCTGAGTTAGGCTATGAGCACCTTGTATTTGATTAACAAAAATGTGGAGCATCTGTTTCATAGGAAAGGTAAAAGCTGGTGTTCGAGCAGCAGATGGGAAGAGGTTTATGTCACTGGGAAAATGCTCTTAGCAATATAGAGGTATAGAGGGAGTATTTGTGCATGTTATGTTTATTTTTTAATTAAGTATGTTAAGCAGTTAAATCTTGTGGGAGGAGGCAAAGCTTATGCCTTTTGGCTGATGTTGTAGAGTAGGTTTGGTAACTCTGTGCTGTTGCTGACTTTCTCTTTAGTAGGCCTTCCACAAGTCTCTGTTTCTCAATTATTTTCTTTTGTGAAATGTGAGAGTTACACAGACTTTAAATGTATTGCCAACAGCTCGTATTTTAAAATTTTTATTTATTTTTCTGTTAATGTTTTCCTACTGATGTGCTTAGAGTCAGGATTCAGTCTCACATACTTTCTACTTTGCTTTAGCTGTGCAAAATCAATGACTTCACTTGTATCTATGTAACCTTAAGTGTCTTAAATGACTTTTAATATTAATGTCTTTTTCTTGATCTTTGTTGCATCACTTGTAGGCAGGAATCATTTTGGAGTGTATTGACCTTCTCGAATCAGTCATCAATCTAAGTGAAAAGATTTTTTTAATAGAAAACAGCGTAGTTAAAATTGCATGTGAATTTCTATTATAGCAGCTCTGTAGTTACTGCTTTTGTTAAAAGCAGTTTTTCAATTTAGATTCCATGTCCAGGCCTTTATATGGAGATAGGTATCTGTGATTATTAAAGATGCAGCAAGAACATAATCTTATGTCAATTTTTTTAACTTAACAGAAAATATTATTCTAATATTCTGGATATGCATTACTTTTTCTTTTATTTATTTATTGATATGAGTTTTCACAGTTCCAAAGTGCAAGTAGTTCAGATACCACAGGTTGGTTTATGGAGACCTGATAAACTGAACAAATGAAGTTGTCTTTGCATGATGTTATCATCTTTCTGGACTTAAATATTTTCAAAATGTGCTTTTAGGCAGCTACAGTGAAAACAAAGAAACTGGAGGAAAACGCTGAAGCAGCGAGACTAGCACATATGGAATGTAAATACACGACAGAAATCATGCAGGTAAACTTTTTATTAAATATTTGGTAGAAGTTTACAGTAGCACAGATGAACTTGTAAAGGTACAATCTTCCACGAATGTTAAGGCTTCCTTGCTTCAGTGAAAACACTGACTATATTTTTTGCAATGAGTGTCAAAGTTGTAAAATATAATAGAAAAATATCTCCTTTTACATGGTTAAAAACGAGTATGTTCACAGACAAAGACACTCTAACTAATTAAAGTTAGAAAGTAGTATATTTATTCACCGGTGGGCGGCATGGGGCATCTTTCTCAAAAGGTGTAACCGCCTTGAACAAAGTTCTCTACCCTCTATTTATTTCCCAAAATCTCACATACAATATATATGCATAACCTCAGCACCTCCCATCCCCATTCATTATTAAAATGAGGCTATTTATTAGTCCTTCATGCATGCGCAGTTCTCTTGATTTGGATTAGTGGTCTTGAATTGGGTTAGTGGTCCCCAAAGGATGAAGTGAGGAAGGCTTTCATCATGTCTCTGTTACCCTTTGGCACGACCCAAGGCCCCCTGCTTGGTGTTCGATTGGTGTAGAGTCCAGGTGATGGCCATTGTTCTCATTGGTTTCAATCTGTTCTTCTAATGGTTCACTTGCTCCACTTTCTTCTATAAACAAGCTCATAATAGCAAACAATATAAAAATTAGCTCTGGCTTAAGCATCTAATAATTATTAACTTACCATTTGCTTATTGGACTTACATCTTGGTCATTATAAATTGCTTCTAACCCTTAGCTAAATCTTAACTCTTCAAAAATCATGATTCACTTTTTTCCAGGCAACTATCACATTAATAGAATAAATATTAAAATAAAATGTCATATTCTTATGGTTGAGAATTCAAAGTAGTGTTGAAGCAGTAGGGGAAAGGAAATGTTTCACAATAGTTAAACTGTTAAAATACCCAGTCCTTTTTCTTTGGAATGGGCTAGGTGTGAGATATTAATGCATCCTGAGACTGCAGTTCCAAATGTAATTATACAGAGTACATTTCAGTTTCAAAGCTACTGTGTCTGCAATTTCTAGAGAAGTTTGAATATACGAAAAAATGTAATATGTATACTTGAATATTAAATTCTTGTGTTATTAAACTGTATCACACAGGGTTTGAGCGATTCAATAAATTAGTTTATTTTAAAAAACAAGTGTGAAAAACCTGTAAGAAGATTGCTGAGTGATCTTGTACTGACCTACAAAGCCTTCACACTGGATTTTTGAAAAACTAAATGAGAAAACAAGCAGGAATTTCATCTTTTTTTTTCTTGTTTTCTGAGGAACACAAATAAACATTGCCAACATAAACTTCTTCAGTCAGTTATTTTCTTATGACCTTCTTTAAGTACAGGCACTTAGATTTCTTGAAGTGATGATTAAATAAGTAGGGATGATTTCGTTTCCGTGGTTCACTCTCTGCTTTTATAACATACAAAGGAATTGGAAGGCTAACATTACCTGAAGGTAGAGATTTTTCTTTTATGGGTGAGAGCTGGTAAGATTTTCTTCCTTGTTTATATACATGAACAAGCTCCACGTGAGCTATATTTTGAGTGTTAGTATAGCTTTTACTGTTAATCCCACCCTTTCATGAGTCTGTTTAAAAAAAGTATAATTCCTTGGAAAACTTCAGTAATACAAATAATTGAAAACAGGAAAATTCAAACACCATGAAAGGGCAAAAAAATGTGGTTTTAGTCAGCATATCTATTTCTCTCTGTTTTGAACTCTATGAAGTAATACATTTTTACATATGTTCAATGCTTTCTAGCTCCATATAGAATTAATAGAATATATTCACCTGTAAAAAGCAGAACAGAACAATGAACAGCATTTAAGACCATGGTAGTCTTTCCTAACTTCCTTTAACTGCTTTCTTATCACTTGGTAGTTAAGAATTCGAGAACTTGAAGATGCTTTGAATGAAGAGCAAGGCGGCAGGAGAGAAGCTTTTTCAGTGGTAGCACAGAAAGATTTCAGAGAGTCAGAAAATGCGCATGAGAGAGGAAAAAAAGAGTAAGTTTCCTTCTAAAGCCATCATAAAATGGCAGTAAACAGCTTGAGTACAACTTGTAGTTTACATTCCCTGCAATTTTCAGTCAGCAGAAAATCTAGTGCAATCTGCCAAACCAAGCCAAAGGGTCAGAACCTGGCAGTCCATTAATAACAGGCCCATATCAGTAATCAAAGTATTGTGAATGGGTACAGATGATAACTGGCCTGTTACAGATTATTTGTCAAACCAAAAATTTTGAAAATCATAGTTATGGTTGGGTCCAGCCTCCAGCAGTGGTTGGGGTGAGCTTAGGGAAACACATCCAGCAGGTCTAGAAAAGATGGCTTTTCTAAATACACTTGTATTATTATGCAAACATTGTTTTCCACTTCAGCGAGCCAGTTGAATCTCTAAGACTCAGAGGAAATCACCTGGGATATGTTTCCTGCCCAGCACAGTCTGCTCTGTGTGTGGTAACAGAACTTGGGTGACCTCTCTTTCAGCCTAGAACTGTATGGGTCTGTATACACAGGTGTTCATGTTGAGTTACACGATGAGTAGTGGAGAATGAAAGAAACTGGTTTTCCTACAAGAAGGGAAGTTTGCAGCCTGAGCAACTCATTCAAGATTCATGGTTATGGAGATGTTTTTAGTAAGATACATTAAACTTGAGCTTTAAAAGCCTTTGTCATCTTATGCAAATATCAACTTTAAGCAAGTGTTTGGTTTACCTGACACCATGCCTAAATACTCAGGCAATCTTTTTAAATTCTTGGATTCCTGTCTCTGCTTCTGTCTCCTTTATGCTGTTGTCTGGCCTTGTAGTTTTCTCATCAGCTGCCTGTTTAGTCATGCCAGGCTCTTGATATATCTGTTTTCCTGACTGACACAGTACAAGAACAGATTAAAATTCTGGGTAGTCTGCTTTAGAAATCAAGCCAGAGTAGAGTAAGGCATGTAGAAACCTTAGAAGCAAGAACTGTACGTGAAATCAGGGTTAATGATGCAAGATGTGACATGGTCTCTCTGAAGAGAGTTATTGTGTTAATTAAAATATTAAGAATTCTGTTTGTGTATATATGTAATATATATAATTATATTATATAATAATATATAATTATGTTATATATTTCAAGGCCATATCCAAATAATTAATTGAATTTCATGACACGAGGCTTGGTAACTGAAAATATAACCACTTGAAAAGTCCTTCTTAGAAGGAATAGAAATTTCTTCTTTCACCAAAAAATGGCAAGCAACTTCAGAAGCCATGTGATATGCTAATGTGGTATCTGCCATATTCATTGATTATCCTTTAAAAGAATGTAGTTCATTTGACAAAAGTAATTTTGGTTAAAGTATCTTATTGTGCAAACTTTCCATTTTACAAAGACACCTTTCATCCTCAAATGCCAAGTGGAGAGAAGGGGCTGAGGACAGGAAGGAAACTGAAGAACCCTCTGGGAGATTAGTGAATGCTGCAACCAGCTTCAGCCTGCATGAAGGCCCAGTGGTAAGGAAAAGAAAATAATTATCTGAATCCTCTTTATTCTTTCTGGGAGAATAACTTCTTTCATGCAAGCATTAATGTATTAAAAGACATTTTCTAGTTAGCCTGCCAAAGTAATTTCATCAGACACAAGAGGAATACTAAGAGAGAAAAGCAACTGTCTGCCCTAAATACAGACAGCAATGATTGCTATTTATAACTACTAAACAAAATGACAATATCAAAATGTTCTACTAGAAATCTTAAGTGCTTGCTAGTTGTTGTTGTGGAAAGAGTTTTCTGTTTTATTTGTAATCCTTTGTAAAATATATATTATACATGACAAGAGTTCAGGACAAAATTCTGTTCGTGAGGAAGATTTCTGGTAATGGAAACAGTACTTAAGAGTATTTAACGGTGTACTCAGAATTAATGCTATTCTACTGAAAGGTAAAAAAACCTAAGGATTTTCTCACTGCCATATTCATAGAGCTGGTTGTTTTAATTGTTTTATTCAAAGGATTTCAAACTAGAGGACTGTCCTGAGCAGGTAATAAAAATATTCATTTTTTGATGAGTTGTATTAGTGGCTCCCTTATGAGATTAGATATTTATTGCCTTGGATGGCTTTGCATTTTCCAAAAGGTATTTGTATTTGTTTGGGAAGCAGGAGTGCCTGTATGTGATCCTTCTTACTCCATTGAAACAGCTTTGATTTTGCTTCCCAAAATGAAAAAGCAGAAGACTGTAGCAGAAACTAAGCACAGAAAACATTTAATATATTGCAGTTGGTCTTTGCTATACTCACGTGAAAATGGTGTGAAAATGTCAGGGTGTTCCCTTCATTTTCCCTTCCTACTTTCCTGACCTATACAGTATTTTTTCATATTTTATACCACTTTTATGCCCCCTGAATATGTTCTTTCCACTCCAGTCTGATAATCTTATATTGATTTCTTACTGTACTGATACAGTGGTTTACATCCTTTGTCTTCATGGCATTTGAGATACAGCTTTCTATTATCTTAATCAAAGTTTCTAAGTTGCTTGAATGTACTAGAAGTATGAAGAATTGGATTTCTACTGCATTCAGTTTAATACACCACTGATTAAATTTACTGTAAATAAATGAGGTATGGCTTGGGGAATTTGACAGCTGGAGCTGTAGGCTTTTTATGGCCAGATATTTAATCATATATAATCCATGAAAATCAGGTTTTTAAAATAATTTAGAGCTGGTTGTGCTGCCAAGCCAACTGGACAATTTTCTGTGTGCTGTGCAGGTGTTGAGGCACAGTTTGAATGCACCTGAAAGTATTAACATGGCTGAATGAATTGCATCCATTAAGAGCATGGAAATTTTTATCTGTGCCAAGTTATGGTTGTGGCCCTGGCAGGACTGGGATTTATTCACATACTTTATTTACATACTGTATCTATTTAGATAAATTTTGTGACGTGTTTTCTTACTCTGATGCTGTATTATGCAATATTAGGACTGCAAGTATTAGGAATGAATGAGGAATTTTGTAAAGCTGTGAGAATGAACTTTGCAGGCTTGTTTTCAGCTGCATCCAGCACTGCTACTACACATATAATGCATCTCTTTTGATTTTAACATTGCCCAGATGCAGCAATTAATTTTTCTTTGTGTTCCAGGGCAAGCCGCCCATCCTCCTAAACTTATACCAGAGAATGGCAGATAGCCATGTGCTTGCCAAACAGCCAAATGTTCCCCTGGAAGGATTACCTTGGATGGAGTTTTGTGTACTCTTGTATGAGAATGTTGAAGCCCTGATCTTGAATTTCCACAAGGCAAATGAGAGGGTGAGTGTCCCGAGTCACCAGCTGCCTCTTCTGAGTTCAGTGACATTTGTTCATACTGCAGTCTCATTAAAAAGGACTGATATTCATCCTCCACAAGGATTTGAACATTAACAAATGAATACCATTAACTGTGACTTGTCCACTGCTCAGTTTGATGCAGTTGCCGTGGGCATTTAGATGTGACTGGAGTGTGCCTCAAGTCTCTCAGCTCCACTTTCTCTGCACAGCATTCTGAAAGGACTAGCCACAGGGAGCTAATTAAAAGATAATAAATCCATCTTACTGATGAAGAAATTCACAGAATGTAGTCATTTACCATCATAAAGCAAGTCTTTATTTTACCACAGTCCAGAGGCAAAATACACTTTTACCAGGAATGCCATCTTTAAATTATGTGTTTATTTGAAAAAATGTCAGTGTGGGATTTTTTTTGTTTCATTATAACTTTTGGATTATGACACTTTTATTCAGAAACACAATAGAAATACCTATTATAAAATATGTCAGTATTTGTGTGAAGGAAGGGTTGTACTTTTCTGAGTATTTTAATGCAAGTGAGCTTACATGGCCTTTCTCACCAGAAATCCTTGTGGTTTTAGGAAGGAAAAAAACCCTTTTCAAATAATTCAGCTGATTCCAGAGACTAACCTATGCCACTCTTTAGCGTTTCACTTTGTGTTCTGGTTTATTTCTCTTTTAAAGCAGAGGAGGAAAGTGAAGCAAAGGGAAGGGGTTGAATATTGTTGGAATTATTTGTGGGGCTTGTGTCTTACTGTTGCTTGCTTTTGAGAATTGTTTTTGAAACTGGTTGTGAGGTCTTTAGGGCTTTTCTCATGTACTTAGCAGCTTTTCTGGGATTTTAGATTTTTTGTATTTTACAAAACTCTTTTTCTTAGAGATGTGTGTGATCTATCAGGAAGTATCTTGCTGTTATTTTCTAGTAACAAAGTGCAGGTGTGTGCATTTGGAGAGCATTGTTGCCTTGGTTCATTCCTCCATTTAGTTTAGGAGGTGCAGTGTTAAACCACAAGAGTAAATCCCTTCATGCTTGTTGAAAACACATCACAAACTTCTGAGCTGCTTGTAAGGAAAACATTCTCTATGCTAGAATTCCCTGAAATGGTTTTAAAACTTAATAATAATCTGGAATGCCTTGGCTTTTCAACACACACACGAATTAAAGCCTGTTTTTAAATTACTGTTTGCAATAATTGTGTCATCACAAACTTCTAAAGGAAATACTTGGATAATTTACTAAAATTTAATACAACTGTTTTAAAAAAATGTATGAAGTGTCTGGCTCAGGTTTCCTACAAAGAAGGTGGCAAACATCTGCAAGGTGGTATAAGGATGGCAAAACCAAAATCAAATAAAGCACTTTGTTTCAAAATATATTTCAGTTTGGTTTTGAGAACCAAGTAATTAATTTATCATGAAAGGGTTTTACTTATTTTTAATAAAAATATTGAAGAAATTACAGTTTAGATTTTAGTCTGAAATAGTCTGTGCTTTAAAACATAAAGTGAGAAGGTAAATAATAATCTCTTTTTAAATGATTGTCATACAGATATCTCATCTAGAATATATTTGCAAGCACAAGACTGACACTATGAATGACCTTCAGCAGAACCAGGAGGATGCTTTGGAGAAAATGTCTGAACAGTTAAAAGCACAGGCACATTGCTTACAGAAAGAAAAGCAGTATCTTGAACAGCAGTACTCAAATCTCCTTGCAGAAGTTCATGCAAGAGCACAGGTACAGTGCTGTGAACTTCTAATTTTTTTTCTTTAAACATTTAATGGATTATTTCAGTAGTTTAAGCCACTTTGCAGTTTAAAGTCATTTTGGAAATTTAATGTATTTTTAAAGTAAAAAATACCCACCAAACAACAAACCAACCCATCACTGTGCTAATATTGACATCATTTACGATGAGAAATAGAAAACTTTGTTGAAGCATTCTGAAGAGAATTTGGTCTACAGCCCCAATTCAGAAGCCTGATTTGGTCTACAGTTGGTAGTAATTTTTTTCTTTTTCTGAGAATGGTAAAGCTGTAAGATCGAATTTGCTTGTTTTAAGACTTAGGAAGGGAGGGCAGCAGCTACTTTTTCAGCATCATCATTTGCAGAGATTGTATAGAGTAACAATAATGTGGTGTCACCTGGGGATTAATTTAATTATATATATATGTACTGCCCCTAAGAACAGTGGTAGATTTCAACAGTGTTAAGTGATTCTATTTTCAGTGAGAAGTGGTTTAAAAGTGTAAAATTGTCACTGCTTGTTAGATGAGTTATTTGCAGTCCAAAATGTTCCCTGTTATTCCACAACCACTGTTTACTGTCTTTAACATCACATTCCTTCACACCTGTTTCAATTAAAAGTATTGTAAATAAAGGAAATAGATGTCCCTTGTTATTTGTGAGTTACTGCAACTTACTTTATCAGAATAATGCTGTATTTGGTGCAGATTTCAGGACTGAAAGTCTTTGCATGCTGAAAAATTTAATCTGTCTAGTTTCATGTTCCAGCCTTCCTTACCTCTTTCCTCTCACACTGGCTTCCTGCTTTGTAGATCAGTGTTCTCTCTGAAATTGGAGAATGTTATTACTGTTGTTAAGTCAACTCATAAAACTGTATTGTGGGCACACAGGTGGTGTTGGAGCTTCTGTGAGCTGTCAAGGTATTGATGGATTGTTGTCAGAAATCAGGGGTCCATTTGCAGTTGATGATCGTGCAAATTTCCCTCATACCATTGATTTAGCTTCATACATCTGATTCTGTAATTGTTTACTAGAAGAGATACTTTCATCAACATCATTACTAACAATTTTTGCTCCTTAAATGCATCATTTGAATGGCAAAATTAACAGTTTTCTTTTAGCTCTTGTCTCAATAAAAACCATCTAGTTAATATTTCTTCCATTTTTGTTTGGTTTGTTTCTGTCACAGGAATGTGAAGAAACGGCACAGAAAAACAGGCAAAAACTGTATGGCCTTGAACAAATGTGCGAGAAACTGGCCCATGAAAACAATTCTGTGAGAAATACATTAACAAATGTTTACAAGGATTGCTCATCTCTGCTGGCAGCCTGTGCACTGCTGTCAGGGGCCCTGTGTCCTCTCTATGGCAGACAGTGTGCTATGTCTTTCCAAAGAGACCTTCTCCAGGACCAGGTGAACCTCCGTGAATTAGTGAACCAGGAGATCAGGACCCTCCTTAATGCTCTCCCTACTAATGTGGAAAACAATCAAGATGAAGCAAGGCTGAGGCAGAGAAGAGCCAAACACCTGGTTTATGTGTTCCGAAGAGCTGTGATTGCAGTTCTGGCCTCTAACAGGCTTAGAGCTCTGGCCCAAAATTCTTGCTCCTTTTTTGTCTGGACAGATGGCTCAAGAGGAAGCCTTGGAATTCAAGTTTGTGTGGGAGAATCCAGAGGCAGGCATCATGGGGCACGTAAGTGGAATGTTCTTTAAGTGTTACATCAAACTACATGGTTAGGGAATAACAAAGAGCAATATTATTATTGTTGAGCATAAAGACACATTTAATAACATTTTGAAAAATATTATTTATGGATTTATGGTTTTTATGTTTCTTGACAAATGTATTTCACTCTAAGAGGAAATGCCTAGTCTATTAAGCGTTGCAAGTAAAATTGCAATTGTACACATGAACTCAGCACTATCTGATATCCTTGATATTTGTGTTACGGTTTTCAGAACCAGGTGCTACAGCATCTTCTCTGTGGTAATTACCTTGCAATGTTCCTAAATTATTAACCATCACCTTTTTTTTTTTCCTTGAGAATGTATTTCCTCTTCTTTTTTTAATAATTTTTAATATTGTTTTCCTACTAAAACCCAGAAAAATTTGCTTTCTGATTCAGGTAAAATATTAGTATAGGATTTTGAAATTCCCTTTTGAGAATATGTCTACTTGTCCCTTTCTGTTGCCAGACCAGTTGATGCTTCCCCCTCTAAGGATTAATGGTATCAAAAATGTTTTTCAAATTAGAAGATTCATCTACTTTTTTTACTTTTTAGTAGTTCTGGAAGCATGATTAATATGGTCTAAATTGTCCTGATTAATTTGCAGTTTATATGCTTATTTTTGGTTAGCTTCTGAAAGAGCTGGAGATAGCAGTGTGCCATATCCTAATGTTTCAGTTATCCTGCTAGCTGCAATTCTGTTTCACAGGTTTTAAAGAGGAAGGAGTTGACTGTATTGAAGCACTTGATTGGTTGACTAGCTCTAACCTCTATACTGCAATAGTCAGTTCCATCTCTGAAGTGCAGGGTATTCTCAGCCAACCAGGTAATTTTAACAGTTTATCGTTGTAGAAGAAATTTATTAAAAAAATAAAGAAGTCAGGGTGGTCACATCATTTCCAGTTTTAGGATTTTATCTAAACTATTCTGGATCAGAGCTCTGAAGAGATATTTCTGAATATTAGGATAGATACCTTTGACTAGAGGTTATAACCTTAGCTAGTCAACACAAATTTTAGTGGGGCTGTTTCCCAGAAGGACTAACTTTATTACAGGGTAAAATAATAACCCTCTTCTACATTCTCTGAATGATCACATCTCATGTACTGTTGGAACAGATTAATTTATTTAATGATGATAGGGTATTTTATCCTTTCAGTATATAAAGCCATGGAAGCAGAAAGCTGGGGAGCGTTTGTGGAGTTTATTTGCAGAGAGAAGTGAAACAGGCTCCCTTGATTCATCTGCATTGCTGCTATCCCTGGTTCTTTATTAACCTGTAGTTTTAGAATCCCCACATTTTTGTCACAGAAAAAAGGATATTAGAAGGGGAAAAAATTATATGAATAAAGGAAAATAGCAGGACAAAAACAAGGCGATGCATTTTCCAAAAGGCTAAACGCTAAATTGCTATAAAAGTTGTCCTTTAATCAAATGTGTTTAGATTCAGTTTTAGGCATTTTCTTCTTTGATCATGCTATTTCCAATAAACTGAATTCATATCCTTAAAAAGCAAAGTTTGAGCCATGTTTCAATATTCACAGTATTCTGTGTTTCAGAACATTTACAGGTTCCTTCCTGTATAAATGAAGAAGAACCGGATATTACAAGAAACTGGAACTAATAACGTGCTTGATGTTTGCTTTTTGTTGTTGTTTCTTAAAGATCCAGACTCCTGGCTTTCTGGACACTCACTCATCAGTGCAGCCAGGAACTCCTTTTCAAAACTGATGGACAATCTGAGCGTATTGATGGAGACAGTTCAAGGGAACCCTTGTGGGTGCAGAGCTTACCTGGAGAGGGACTCCCTGATACAGAGGCTGGCTTGTGGACTTCTCAGAGTAAATGCCCAGGCCCTGAAAGCTGGATTGTATGACAGACTGCCCAGCACAGTAAGCAGATTTACAGTCCTCCTTCACGGAAACAGAAGATTTACAGTAACAGTGAAGCTCCCTTGATAGCACCCTTTATTTTGCTGGTGATGAGTCCATGACAATGAAGTAGCACTGTATGGACACTCAGAAGGTGATTTGTCACACATTAGGGTGTGAATAGGTCTTTTATTGACAAAGAATTTTTGGAGGCAGTTCAGTGTATACAAGTAAAAGTTGGTTTTTTTTCAAATTCTATCAGAACTGTATTAGCTTATAAGAGCAAATTTGCTTTTGGCTTGATGTAAATGCCAAGGTTGCTTTTTATTAATGATTTCTATTTTCTAATGTTTACCATGCTATCTTTCAGTAAAGATAACCTTACCTTTAACCAAAATGAAAGGATAAACTCTTTCTCTCATAATCTTTTATAGTAGACTTTAGGTGAAAATAGTACTTCCTTGTAATTTGCAGTAACCCTTGGCAGGTGACAGGTTAAAACTTTTGCCCTTGTGTATGTCTTAGAGATGGAGGAAAATTATAGTTTTGTCTTAATTTTCTTGGGTCTTAAATGTGATTTGTTTTATTGCTAAAATAGCAGATTTTATAGCCATCAACTTGTTTTTGTTTGCTGACAGAGAAACATAGCAATCTTGCAGCAAGAAGTATTTGAATTATCACGAAGGCTTCATACAGCAGAGGTAGAGTCCCACTCACTGCACCTACAGCTTGCAGAATTCAAATGGACTTTCAGTGAGATGCAGAGGGATGCTGAAAAAGCCCACAGACTTCAAGAGCAATTAAATGCACTTCAACATGTAAGTATATCTGATCTGGAGACTCTTGCTCAAAAGAGATTCTCCTTTCTACACATTTTTTATTTGTGTTCTTTTGGAAAACAAGCATAAAATTGATTTACTTTTCACAGAATTTTCCAGAAAACTTGCCTTGTAAGTGTCACTAAACTAGAAGTCAGATGTATTGAGAAATACCCCTTCATCACTGGAGTTTCCTTTTGATTTGTAGAAGGAGGTATCATGTATAAGTTACAGTTTGGTCTTCAGCAATCCAGGTTCTCCCATTTGCTGGAAATGTTGATGTGATTTATGTAACCTAAAAGAAAATTTCACTTCAACAGGGTAAAGTCAGCTGGAATGAGGGTATTCAATAAGAATGTTCATGAAATATAAATATAGCAGGTTAAACTCTGTATGGATGTTGATGAATTTTATAATAAATAAAACACTGATTTTGGTGGGCCTGTTTCCCTGAAGAAGTAACTTTATGGCAGGGGGCAAAAAAAGCCTTTTCCTACATTCTCAGTAGCACAAATGCACAAAATTCCCCTGAGTCTTTTGCTGTTGCTGCTTGACTTACTGAACCACTGTGGGTTCCCCAGCCTGAAGCCTAGTTGGTAGAACCTGTCAGTGTGTCCCAATCCAAACACTTCTAAGCAGAGAATATCTGCTACATGATGGAAGGATCCATTGTCCTTCCTGTTCCTAACCGGTAAAATGGATTTTTTTTATTTTATTTTTTTTAAGCTCATATCTAATCATCTTCAGTTTTGTTCTTAACAGGTTTTATTCCCTTAGTATTTTGGGACAGTTAGATGAAAATTCACACTTTGAAAAGTAAAATGAAAAGTCACATTTTAGATTGTAATTTGAATGCAGAAGGTGACTTTCCTTAAAGAATTATTTTGTCTTTCTGGAACAGTTTTTGGAAAAGAAAAATCCACAAATGTGTTTACAAGGGTTAATAAGCTATCCAGTAAAATTTTGAACATTGATCTGGATAATTTTCTTCTAAATGTTGAGGTTTTGCATCCTGGGGTGTTAATTTGAATAGAATAATGAATGTCAAGACTTTACATGAATGTTCTTTATATAAAAAACACAGTAATTATCTGGTCTGACATTTTATTGTTCAGTGATCTGTCTTCATGTTAAAAAACCTCAATACTAATCCTAGGCATATGTTTGTTTTAAAATTTGGTATGTTTACAAATGGAACACAGGAAGTCAGGTAGGGAAACTACTGAATATAGTTACAGAGTAAGACACAACTTCTTTCTCTTTCCAGAAAATAATCACCCAAGACAATATACATGACGAGCTGGATAAAGCTTTGCAGTGTGAGCATGAGGCGAGACTGCTTTTACAAGAACACCAGCGACGGCTTCAGGAGTTAAGTAATAGACTAGAATTGCACACATGTGCAGACCCAGATAGAAGCCAAGACTCAAAGGTGTCCCTGATGGTAAGATTATTCTTCTGGAACAGTCACCAGAGTTTTACCTTTTGTTAAATAAATCAAATAGTGCAGTCTTTGTGTAAATAAAATAACAGGAACAAATACACAGATGCTGCTCAGTCTGCTGGACTTTTAGGCTACTGAGAAAACACTTCAATAGCTTTTTTTTTTTTTAAGTTATGGATATTTTATTCTTAAACATGTAAGAAAAAGTCTTCAGTGGGGGTTTGTTTTGGGTTTTTTTGCCGACAATCATTCTGTTTTCTAAAACACATTACACACTACATAGCAATATAGTAAAATATACTAAAAATGGGGGAGCAGGAGGTGGGGTTCAAAGTCAGTAATGCTTTTGCTGGGAAATTCATAAAACTTTAATATGCAGTGGTCCAAATCTACTTCACAATCAATTTGTCTTCCACATTGGTCAGTAGCCAATGGCATAAAGTGAAGTTTATTTGTGCTGATGAGTAGCTCTGCTCTCTGACTGCTGACAGAGCCTCCATGGTGCAACGGAGGAGCTGAGGAGAAGAGACCAAGTTCTGAATCACCAGAAGAGTCTCCTGAAAGACATGGAGCAGGACCAGCAGCAGCTGCGTGAGACTCTCCAGGAGGCAGAACATGCCCTCCAACAGGCAGCAAAGTGAGCCCTGGGCCTGGGGGATGTCCCTTAAAGTGAAAAGAAAATTCAATTCCTAATTCCATGGGCAGGGTTTTAGACCTGGCCAGTGTAAGGCTAGAAGAGAAAAGTACATCTATCTCTTTTTTAAAAAAATCAGGTATAGTCTTCTTAAAACAAACGTGTCAGTTCAGAATACTAGGTCATACATTTTATACAGTTATGACATAATAGTGCTCCAAATTCTGGGTGCTGAAATAACTGGCAAACAAAATACCTGTGCTGTTTTACTGATCTGACAGCATCTCTTTGGCAGATCCTTAAAGTTGTGTTTATTTCAGAAATGATTGTTTGTTCTCTGTGTTTCCATGCCATGTTTTTGTAGACAATTAATTTATAGTAAATACGAAGCATCAGCTAGGGGGCAGGTCTTAGCTGCCAAAGGGACTGAATCCCATTTTGGACCTAGCTTTTCCTGTGGGACAAGATAGATCTTCCAGCTGATTTCAGGGAGTTTTGGATTTAGACCTAATCCCCACACCATTTACATCATAACCTGGAGTGGAAGGAAAGGCTCAGGCACTGGTCTTGAAAATATTGTTAGTCCAAAGGAGCCCCCTTGACTTGTAGGAGTTAGGTTGTTACTAACCTATTCTTACAGCCATATGGTCAGATAAAAAAGATAAAACTTTGCAGACTTTGTTTTCCAATATTATCACAGTATGAAGTATGCATTATGAATATTGCTGTTCCATGCCTAGAATCTAAAAAAAAAAAAATTTAGTTAACTAAAATTTCCCACTGTACCTGGGATCATTTTATCTCTGAAGAACAACATCTGAGAAGCTTTAAGGGTTTTATGCACCAGGGTAATAATGTAATTCATAGAGTCCTCAATGAAATGTTTAACAAGCTAATTAAAATGACAAATGTTATTTGGTATGATTTCATCAAAGCAGGTGTGACCTGCAGAAGGATTTGTTCTAAAACGATAGCCCTTTTCATCCTGCTCTAATCTATTTTGGACATTTTAGTAATGATCATTCCTTATGGCCATACATATATCCAGAAAAGATTATTTTAATGTGACATGTCTTTAAAACTGGCCTTTCCCCCCTCTATATAGTAGCTGAATAGCAACAAAGAAATCCACCCTTCCGTTCATTATTCTAGCAACCCTTCACAACAAATAGGGTTTTTTCCTCCCTTTATTCCATCTGCTTTGCTTATATGTTCCAAACAGAATCTGTCAGTGTTTTCCAGGACAAGAATATAATACAATCCTGCAAGAGTCTTTTTACGACTCTATATCCAAGCCATGATAGTTGTTCATTGATAGACCTATAATTTCATCTATTTTAATTGCTTATCCTCAACGGAAGCATCTTTTTTATGGAAATGCACCAAACAGGGGAACATGAACTATTTTTAGGGTTTACATTGGAGATATGAATAAGAGAGAAAATCCTAACAGTTTGAATTATCAACAATTCTTCTACAAGACGTGACAGCCATGAAATAGCAGAAGATTAATTTCTACATTGGTAGAGCTTCAGTTCTATAAAGTTACTCCATTGTTCTTGTTTAGTTTTTTGTTTTATTTTTCTTTTATAATAGAGACAAAGAGTTGATGATTAATCATATGAAAGCTGTTGATGCCACCCTGAATGCGGTAAGAATTTGAAGTGTTCCCTCTGATTTGTGTTTCCAAACATGCCAAAGCCTTAGAACTGCTTATTCTCAGGGGACAAGTTGTTGCAAAGCAACTTCCTTTCCCTCAGAGTTGAAGTTTCCCCCCTCAACTTCTTCCATCTTAAAAAATCTCAGTGAGATAAAATGCAAGTTTACAGCACACAAACAACTTGTTCTAAATGTAGAAGTTACGACAAAATTCGCTTTCTTTCCCTCACTGAGCACTATTTCTGGTTGCCAAGTGAAGACTAATGGAACACACAAAAAATTGGCAATTATTGTGGAGTTAACCCTCTACTGAATAATGAGGTCACATACGTGATGGCTGTAAAACACATGGCTTTGTTTCTCCTGCTTTAACCTCTGAAACATCATAAATAGGAAAAGAAAAGGCAGGAAGTAATAATCTGTAGTCAGAAACTTCCATAATATTTTTTTTAAAGCATATTTTAAATTTAATAATAATCTCGAGTTTTGTCTCTGACTTGTACAATTGTACCCTGGTATAGGACTATTTGAAGGTCCAACTGAGCTGTATATATTAACTATTTAGGAGAAACAACTATTTCCAACTATATCTCTAACGGCAGATGGGTTTATAACTGCTTTTAATCTAGAGCAACACAGAGCAAAAGAAGTATTTTCATTACCTTGGAGTATCAATTTCCCTTACTACACCTTTAATTCCTAGCAACACGGAAATCTCTATTTTAGTTTCTTCATTCACCAGAACTGTTGCTAATTTCATTTTCAGATATCTTTTCAAGTCTCTTTCCTTTAATGTTCACAGAAAGTGACAGAACCTAAACCATGTGTTTCACCTACAGCAAACTCTGCTGGTAGAATATTTCCTTTGTGCCACCACCATCTTCATAATGATTTCTTTCAAACTTTGGAAGTGGATGTCATGCAGCAAGTGCTGTGTTTTTACAGTAATATGTAAATGTAATACACACATGCAATATCCTTGGCTTTTCTCTTTTCAGACCAGGGCAAGGTGCTTTTATTTTTATTTTTTGTTAGCATCCTCTCCCAGAACTGCGAATTAGAGACTTACTTGCAATGAAAATTCAATCAGTTGTACTTTATTCATGGATGTTAAGTCCAGTGATCAATGCAAATACACTCAAGGAGCTCAAGGAGACCCAGTTCATGCCAGCTGGTGGGACTGAAGGCAAATTACCAGTGATACTGGGGTTTTTTTTTCCTTTTAGATCAGAGATCAGGCCATGGCATCAGGTGCTGCAGCAGCCACGCTGCTCCCCAGCCTGAAGCTTGAGACCCTTTCAGAGGAAACAATGAACAGCAGGCCAGAGGCTACAGCATTCCAGGTTAGAGTCTAAAACCAATCCTGTTTAAATATTTTTTTATTTTCTTTCAATTTTTGCATCTGAAATAGAACACGCAGACAGACTGCTCTGAGCATGTGGAGAGCAAAAAGCTTCAAAGCTATTGCAGTCAACAGCTGGAAGACAATTTCCATGTATACTCTTGCATATGGTATTTCAGAGATGATGGCACCTCTTAATTTTACAGCATTAAATAACTGATGGGAATACAAACATGGACAAAAGTATATATACCTGAAAGTTAATATCCCTCTATCCTCCTCTCTTTTCCCCTTAATATACACAAGACTAACACCCAAGAAAGGCAGATTCTAAGCTGGAATTTTCTCACTGTCGCCCTCTTGCATGCACACATGCATTTCAATGTGATAAAGATATAAATTATGTGTGCATTATCATATGTCCACACTAAAATATGGAAATATGTAATATGCAATGCCTTGAGATTCCCATGAAGCTTAATTAGCACAGATGAACTTTTCTGCCAAAGGGTAGAGTTTCAAATGTTTCTCCAGTACTGTGATGATACATTTTAGAGCTGCACAAAAGGTCCCACAGGTGGCATCTTTTCACAGGAGGAATTGTGGCAATCACCAGTTATGAAATCCTACTTTTTCTAATTTGCTAGTGGATGCTTGGATGCTTCCTTTTTTTTTTTTTT